TAAAAGTTTTATATCTCCAAAATTTCTCTTCCTCTTTCGGGCGTTACCCATTTTCATCACTAAAAGAGAGCTACAAAATTGGCAAAACTCCCTGACAAACTTTTTATGGGAGGGGAAAAATCAAGAATAAACCAAAATATATTACACAGGCCAGCGAAACTGGGAGGCTTGGACTTTCCTTTGCTACAAGCTTACCACAAAGCTGCAATATTATCTCAAGTGATTCAAATGCAATACGAGGATGAGCAACAAAATTGAAGACAAATTGAAATGGTATACACAGCTCCTTACAGTCTCCAAGAAATTGTCTAGATGAAAAACACTTCAAGACCAAAACTAATCAAAGAAAACTTCTTATTAGCAACAGCAATCACAACATGGGATAAGAATAAGAATCTTCTTCCTTTGGAGATCTCTCAAATGTCCACATTTATGGGACAGAATTGGTTCCAGCCAGGGATTCTGCCACGTGCTTTTGAAGAATGGAAGGTTGCAGGATTTGGATGCCCTCATGACTTAATAGACAAAGGCGTAATGAGAGACAAGCAATACTTTGATCAGAAAATGGGGAAACAGACTCCTTGGTTTCAATATTTGCAGTTAAAAAACCTATTTGATCAGCTCATAGAACTGGGCATATTTCAAAGGGAATTAAGAAACTTGGAAAGAATCATTAAATTTTACCCCAGCTTTCTGAAGGGAACCCTGTCTAAATTATATTATACGATCATTTCGGAAGGAGATTATCAAAAACCCAAATACCAACATCGATGGGAAGAAGATCTGATGGTGCGATGGGATGACAAAGATTGGCGCAATATATGGTCTTCTCCAGCCAACCATTCCAACATTTTCAATATTCTAATAATGGCTGCTGCCACACACGCTAAGTAATCCACTTTCAATCCACTTTCAGTGCACTTTCAAAGTGGAGTTTTACTGTGTGAACTGGCAAAATCCACTTTGAAAGTGCACTGAAAGTGGATTGAAAGTGGATTACTTAGCGTGTGTGGCAGCAGCCTAACATGACCAAACATGGAAGGAGGTCCGAAAACAGATCACAGATATAACCTCACTTAATCTTAATTTCAAACCTGAAAACTTTTTACTAAACCATTGGGATATCGACATAGATGTCAGAAATAAGGACATAATCTCTATACTCCTTGCAACAGCACGTCTGACAATAGCTTCATGTTGGAAATCTCCATCGCCACCAACGTTATCCGCATGGCATGAGAAGGTGTGGGAGCAATTTGTGATGGCAAAAATCTCAGATAGAGTACACAGAGCACAAACGTCTCAGTCTTCCAATCCCAAATTTGAATCAACCTGGTTCCCAATTTTCTCATATCTCACCACACATGATATACTCCCGGCAAACTCACACTATCATAACTGGTTACTGATGTGAATTTGAATTATTAGTATCAAACATTATTATCAAAGCCTGATGGGAAATGATAATATCTGTAATCCTTACTCCTCTAGTTCTGAAGACTAATGACCTTGGGTATTATAGAAGATCTTTCGGTTGAAATGTTACACTAACTTTAATTTAATGTTCTTAAGATATTGAAATGTACTTCTATATTTGTGTATCTTTTTTGATGGCATCAATATGGCATACATTGTTTTGAAAAAAATAATAATAATAAAAAAGAATTACTGAAATGTGTTTGTGCCATTTTATTTAGAAAGCATTGATGAAACTTGTGGCCATTAAACAAAATATAACAAATTTACTTATAAGATATCAATTTTATTGGATTCCCCCCACACACACAAATATCCCAGTTATAGTATTTTAGTGAGACAGTTACTCAGAACTTTCTATCATTCTCTCAAAAGACCCTGGGATAGGGAAATTATTGTTAAATGCATAGGTATAAATGCAACATACAGAAAGCTGCCTCTTTCCTTCTCAGTAGGGTTGTCAGGCAACCAGTGAGAAACTGGGGGGCAGGGACATGTAGGGTGGCCATTGGCAACAGCATGATGTCACTTCCAGGATAACCCAGAAGTTATGTCATGTCTCTTTAGGCATTGCTGAAAACTCTGTGGTAAAACCATAATGTCTTTGGGGGTTCCTCGGCAGTTATGATATCACTTCTGGACTCTTCTAGGAAGTGGCATCACATTGTCATCAATGGCTTTTTTAAAAATACATTTCTCCCCTCATCTGCCGGAGTTTTGGCAGGTAATGCCTGCTGGAGGCAGGATATCTCCGAGCCCCAGTAGGAATATGGCAACCCTGTTTATCAGCCTCAGTGCTATTTATTTTATGAAAGGCTTTGGCCACAATCCTATATTGTCTTGCAGCTCAATCCTAAACATGTCCCCTCAGAAGTATGTTTCATTTTCAATAGGACTTAAGCTCAAGTGAGTGTGAAGAGGCTGGTATGATCTTTGTCATGTACACATATATAGGACTGGGTGTTTTGACATACTCTACATATCCCCTCTGGAAGGGAAAAAATAGGCCCGGCTTTTCACTGTAGACTCTACAGTTACTAGTCTTTCTGAATTACTGTGAAAAGCAGGGCCTATTTTTTTTTCCCCAGATGAAAGGCGGTATGATATAGCCCAGTCTCATCAAATCTTGGAAGCTAAACAGATTTGATACTTGGACAGGAAACCACCAAAGAAGACGTTGCAGAGGAAGGCAATAGCAAACCACCTCTGCTTCTCGCTTTCCTTGAAAGCCCCTTGCTGGGGTCGCCAGAAGTGGGTTGCAACTTGACAACCTGTATGTATGTATGTTCGTAGGTTCCCCCCCCCCCCCAAACCCTGCTGGTTTTTTTATTAGGCTACATAGAAAATTGTGTTTCAGCAAATGGTAAAGAAATTGTTGGCAGAGTTTAAATAGGTTTCTTTTCTCTCTTCATTTACAGTTTCAAAGAATACTCTGTGTACTCTCATGTGCATTGAGCATGCACTATCTAAAAAACAGATTCTTTTGGTTGAACCATTTGTTAATATGAAGCACTTCTTTAGGGGTGGGGGTTTCAAATTCTCCCTTTTTGTTTGTTTTGGAGGGGCACCCTTCTGTTTGAAAGCACTACAGTCCTTTTTAATATGCCCTTGTCTTCCACATGAATAACAAGTTACTTTACTTTTGGTGTAGTGATTAAGAGCAGTGGACTCTAGTCTGGAGAGCTGGGTTTGATTCCCCACTCCTCCACTGTTATCTCAAGCTATTATCTCAAGAGCAGTTCTCTGAGATCTCTCTCAGCTCCACTTACCTCACAGGGTGTCTGTTGTGGGGAGAGGGAGGGAAGGAGAGTGTAAGCCACTCTGGGCCTCCAAATGAAGGGTGGGGTATAAATCCAATCTCTTCTTCTTCTCTTAATATTTACATATAAAGCTATCTGGTCAGAATTGTGTTCAGCTTTTCAGTTAGGTTCCTCAAACTGTTTGTGTTTGAATAACCGTTTCATTTCATTAATTACATTTGAAATAGAGAGGTTTCCTTTTGATTCAGTATGACATACGATATTCTCATAACTCATAGCAGAGGACAGAATTTGCAATAATGGGTTTAAATTAAGGGTGGGAAGGAACCGGCTGAATATTAGGAAAAACTTTTTGACAGGAAGAGTTGTTCAACAGTGGAATCAGCTACCTAGGGAGGTGGTGAGCTCCCCCTCCCTGGCCGTCTTTAAGCAGCGGCTGGACAAACACTTGTCAGGGATGCTCTAGGCTGATCCTGCATTGAGCAGGGGGTTGGACTAGGTGGCCTTTATGGCACCTTCCAACTGTGATTCTGTGATTCTAACTTTTGGGTAGACTAACCAATATCAAAACAACCAAGTCCTAATCTGTAATTTCTTTACCAGCACTCCTTAGCTCTTGACTCAGAGCAAGCATTTGATGTAGGTGCTCTCTCAAATTGCCCACCTTCGGCATTCTTGCACTAAATAATTTCTTTTCAATGTATAGCTGGTCCTTTAAAAAAGAATTAACATACAGTCACTTAAATTAATTCCAGACTCCCTTTGCTGTCTGCATTTGAATAACTCTCAGAACATCTCTATCTGTTAGACCCCTTATTAGAGTATCTCTTTCTTTCTCGTCCTCCTTGTCCCAGAATTTCTCTTCTGCTGAGCTCTCTTCTTCTGGTCCAGAGTCTGTAATAGTATACCAAACTCCCATCTTAAGTAAATGGCTTTTCATTGTCTCTTTCAAAAAAAGATAATTCACGTCTGTCAGTCTATCCAGTAGGTTGTACACAAAGCTGTGCAGAAAGCAGACATTTCTTCCCTTTGCCTACAATTTGTCTAAACTATCTCTTTTAACAGTAGTGTGCACACTGGGCCCAGAACCCTTTTTGCAGAGTTTAAATATGAAAAGGAAGTGGAGCACTGACTGTTTAGAGAAAAATAAGTAGGTTTATTACAGAAGAACAAACTGTTATAGAACATAGAAGAGAGAGAGCCTTTGCTGTCTAGCCTATCTGCTGTGAAGAAGGAAGCTCTGCAGGAGCAGGAAGTCTCCAGAATAGCCAATCAGGAAACAGGAAGGACACAATCTGAAAAAGTGGAAAGTCCCTAGTCTAGCTATGCCAAATACAAATCCTTCAGCTATCCCCCTGTAGGGTGATCTTCAGATCTTCTTCATAAGGCTGCACTCTAGACTTTGCATAACCACTGCAATTAGTTAGGTCCCAGCCATTAACTGGAGCAGGCAGGGCTTTTTTGTAGAAAAAGCCCAGCAGGAACTCATTAGCATAATAGGCCACAACCAACAGCAGAAACACATTAGCATATTAAGCCACACCCCTAACATCACAGCTCATTAGCATATTAGACCACACACCCCATGTTACCACACTCACCTTTTGCTTCTTATTCTGTTTACCTTGTTTGTTGTCAAAACCCAGGGCTTTTTTTGGAGCAGGAACTCCTTTGCATGTTAGGCCACACACCCCTAATGTAGCCAATCCTAATGAGTTTCTGCTGTTGGGTGTGGCCTATTATGCTAATGAGTTCCTGCCGGGTGTGGCCAACTTGGGAGCCAGCCGGAACTCCGTTCCTGTGCGTTCCTGCCCAAAAATAGCCCTGGGAGCAGGTATTCGTGTTGGGTGGGAGACAGGGAGGAAACAGCATTGACTACAGACAGGCAACTCACACTGTTTTCTGAGGCCCAGCTCCCTTCCTTCCAGTCAGTTTTATGGCTTAGGGAGCTGTTCCCCACTTCGGGCACAAGAATATAGCAAAGTTCAAAGCTCAAAGCTGTTCCTTAAGGAAGTAATGGCTGTTATTCTTCATTATAATTTCTTGTTCACAAGAGGAATGACATTAACCATCTTTAAGTGCTAGACCTCTTTAACTATTAAAAGGGGGGAAAGTAATTTTGCAAACATATTTTTTCCCCGTCCTGTCTTCATGATTCCTGGATGGTTAATGGAAACTACACTTCTTTTCAGGCCTAATAAACCTGCCCAGGAGCAGGATGCTGCCTGTGCAATTGTGCAACACGAAGAAGAGGAAAGGATGGTCAGCCACAAATTGCAAACCCTCTCGGTGACTCTGACGCGTATCTTTCAGGCAATGCGGTTCTTCGCCACCCTCTTCATCCATTTCCAGAGAAGTGCTGTGGACAATCTCATTCAGTGCCACATCTTCTGTCAATGTCATTCCAGTTAAGTCAGCCATCTTGGGATCCAACACTTGAGTCACAGCGAGAGCTTCCAACAGTTTGGCGGTTAGAACGTCCTTCTCCATCTTGATCTTGGGAATGGCCACTTCTACCTCTTCCAGTTTCAGCGGCTTTTGACAGATCCACTCTGCTATCTTCTCATAGGTAAGTTCTTCCTCTAGCTATGGGACCAATGTAAGGAAGAATTAAAACTGTGGCAAGTTAGTAAAAACATTTTTCTTTCAATAGATCTGCGGGACAACTCATTTTTTATTTTTAAATCGGTAATGCAAAGATGTACCTTTATTTATTAATTTATTTATTTATTTTTAGATTTATACCCCACCCTCCCCGAGGGCTCAGGGCGGCTAACAACGAGGCATAAATGCCAACGTTAAAACAATAAAAACAGAATAAAACAATACAATATATTACACTAAAATGTCGGTGCTCTAAAGGTCACATAGACCATAAATTACAAGATGGGGTTCTGGAGTTATTATTACCAGACCAACAACATACATCCCAACAGCACTGTCAACCCATCTTCATCCAGGAACGTCTCACACCCTGATGATTCCCACACAATGCTGGTAGGGGTGCGGAAATAGAAGATGATGGTGATGGAATAATGGTGGTGGCAGCTCCTACTCAAAAGCCTGGCGGAAGAGCTTCGTCTTACAGGCCCTGTGGAACTGCGCAAGGCCCCGCAGGGCCCGGATCTCCTCTGGGAGATCATTCCACCAGGTAGGAGCTGCCACTGAAAATGCCCTGGCCCTGGTAACAGCAAATTTGGTATTCCTGGGGCCTGGAATTACCAGGAGATTTTGACTCCCCGACCATAGTGCCCTTGGGGGAACATGCAGGGGAAGGCATTCCCTTAGGTAAGCTGGACCCTGGCCATATAGGGCTTTAAAGGTAAGAACCAGCACTTTGAAACTGATCCGGTACGCCATTGGCAGCCAGTGCAGCACTTTCAGCACAGGCCGGACGTGATCCCATCTGGAGAGACCCATCATCAGCCTGGCTGCAGCATTCTGCACTAGCTGCAGCTTCCGAATTTGCGACAAAGGCAGCCCCATGTAGAGAGCGTTACAGTAGTCTAACCTCGAGGTAACTGTCGCATGGATCACTGTAGCCAGGTCATCACGGTCCAGGAAAGGGACCAACTGCCGTGCCAGCTGAAGATGGTAAAAGGCCGACTTGGCAGTGGCTGCCACCTGAGCCTCCATCGTTAAAGAGGAGTCCAGGAGCACACCCAAACTCCTAACCTCCGACGCTAGCACCAAAGGCGCCCCCATCAAAAGTTGGGAGAGGGAGCCCCAGCCCTGAACCGATCCGACTCAGATCCAGGACCTCCATCTTTGCCGCACAGAGCTCCATCTTTACAGCACAGAGCTCATTCATTTCAGTGTCAACAGACGGCCTATGAGCAATAGAGTTTTTTGTGCATATAATTGGATTTGAATGCTCGACTGCTAGGGTTGCCTGGTCTTACCTGGCTGCCGGGGGGGTCCAGGTCCTGGAGTTCTTTGGCGTGAGCACGAAGCATGTGCTGCAATAATGTCACCCAGAAGTGATGTCCTCACACAGGGCACGTTGCAGGGGATGCTCTGTCATTTAAGGGAAAGCTCTATGGCTTTTCCTTAAATGATCGAGCGTTCCCCCCCCCCCACAATGGGCCCGGCGTGATGACGTCATCTCCAGGTGACATCATTGCGCCAGGCACGTTGGCGCACACGAGGCTCTTTGTGGGGTGGGGTTCCCCCCACCAGTCAGATCAGGGCCGGCAGATCAGGGGCTGCAAAAGTAGGTGAAGCCCCATCAGGGAAATGGGAACCCTACTGACTACACAGTGGAGACATAACTGTTATACGCTACATGAGAGGAATAATTATTGTATAAAAAATAATAATAATAAAGTAACACTTTGTGTCCAGTTTCCATAAGGGCTTTTCAAACAGTACAACAGTGTGTATTGGGGAGCCCACCAACCATACATACCAGGAGAGCACACTACCCGTGATCTTCCTAGTAAAAAGGTAAAGGTTCCCCTGCTCGAAAGCCAGTCGAATCCGACTCTAGGGTTGCGGAGCTCATCTCCGTTTCAAAGCCAAAGAGCCAGCGCTGTCTGAAGATGTTTCCGTGGTCATGTGGCCGGCATGACTAAACACCAAGGCGCACAGAACGCTGTTACCTTCCCACCGAAGCGGTACCTATTTATCTACTTGCAATTTCTTGCTTTCGAACTGCTAGGTTGGCAGGAGCTGGAACTAGAGACGGGAGCTCACTCCATCATGTGGCAACTCGGATCTTCCTAGTACTCACACATATTAAAAAGTTTGTGGTAGTGCAAGTTCCCATTGCACACAATATGTGGGCTCCCCGTATATGTTACAGTAATGACTGAAAAGGTCTATACAACAGCCCAGTCTGTTTAGCACAGATCTCTTTGCACAGAACACGTTGCAATTCCGAGGGAGTACAAGCAAGGTTTAGAACACAAGTGGTCATCCCTTTCAGCACAAACCTTCTTGAGCACATTAAAGACTAACAAAAAAAATCCTGCATAAGCTTTTGTGTATTACAGTTGACTTCCTGTATCTGGAGAAGTGGGCTCTGGTCACCAAAAAACGTATGCTGGGAAAAATATTTTGTCACTCTCTTAAGTGCCACTGGTCATCTGTTTATCCCTCACGAGGCTTCTCCAAATAAATTTATGGTTGGTAAATTCAATAGATACACACACAAAAAATATTCACATTGCAATGAGTAATGAATTGACAACATTTACTTTAATAAGATGTGGAGACGGTCAGTGGTCTAGATGGCTTTGAAGAGGTTTGAGACAATTTCGTGGAAGAACTGGTATTGGCCCTTACTTTGGGGGGGGGGGGTTTGTCATTAAGTCCAGGGCTATTTTTGGGCAGGAACGCAGAGGAATGGAGTTCCGTCTGGCTTCAGAGTTGGCCATGCCCACTACAGCCAAAACACCTGCGTGCGTGGCTACAGAGGGAAGGCCTGGAGAGCGACCCCCCCGGCGACTCCAAGGCGGGTGGGCCGGGGGGGCCCTGGAAGGATCAGGGAGGCATTTAAATGCCTCCCCGTGCATTCCCCAGCCTGTCCAAGGGCCGGCTTGCCCGGGCAAGTCAAGGGAAGGCATGGGGTGTGGCCTAATATGTTAATGAGCTGTGCTGTCAGAGGTGTGACTTAATATGCTAATATGTTTCTGCTGTTGGGTGTGGCCTATTATGCTAATGAGTTCCTGCTGGGGTTTTTCTACCAAAAAAGCCCTGATTTCTACAAAAAAAAACCTGATTAAGTCACAGACGTATGGCAACCTCATGGACTTTTCATAGAAATGCAGTGTTCAGAAGTCATATTCATCTAAATAGACACTATCTCTCTCATTCCCCGCATATGTCTGTCTGTCTGTCTGTCTGTCTGTCTGTCTAGTACTGCCCATACAGCTATCACCTTAAGCAGAAATTAGGACCCAAAGATATTTTAAAAGACCTTAGTATTATTTCTCTTATATTTGATTATTTTACAAACGAATTGTGCCCCTGAAAGGGTGACACGATCATTTGTATCCATGACACTTGGGCTCACACATTTAGCAATTCCATATCTTTCAGTAAGTAAAGGTTTCCCTTGCTCGAAAGCTAGTCGAATCCGACTCTAGGGGGCGGTGCTCATCTCCGTTTCAAAGCCGAATAGCCAGCGCTGTCCGAAGACCTCTCCGTGGTCACGTGGCCGGCATGACTAAACACCAAGGCACGCAGAACGTTGTTGCCTTCCCACCAAAGCGGTACCTATTTATCTACTTACAATTTCTTGTTTTCAAACTGCTAGGTTGGTAGGAGCTGGGGCCCGAGATGGGAGCTCATTCCATCACGCGGCACACTCGGGTCTCGAACTGAGCCACCCTGAGCCGCCCTGAGCCTGCTGGCGGGGAGGGCGGGGTATAAACTGCCAAACTACAGACCTTCCAGTCTACAGCTCAGCATTTTAACCTCTGAGCCACCATGGCCCCACCCTTAAGTAAAGGGGTGACTAAATTAGCCCTCGACTTGTTAAATATAAGGCACTCCATAATCATATATTCGATGGTTTCGATTTTATCTTATGAGCATCTACATGTTCTATTAGAGTATGATACTCTATTATATCCTCCGAGGGCAAATAGACACTAAAGGCTTGGAACAAACTGAGAGGAACTGCTGCCCTTATGCCCTGCTTGTGGCATCTGTCTGGCTAGTGCTGAAACAGCATACTGGATTAATTAACCTTTTTTGTGGTTTTAGTAATTTGTGGAAATATGTTCAGAATCATAGACCTGAGGACAAAGGATCATGCAGTGCCTTTTTACCTGTTGAATGCCTTCTGAACTGCAGTCATCTGGTAACAATATGAACATGCTCAGTTCATTATCTTTGTAGGGGATTTCAAGCACCTGAACGTGCATGTCTTGTAATTCAACTGTGCCCATCTTATACTGGCCTCTGCGATGCATCAGATCCACGGTATTATAGGTCATCTGCAACAAACAGCAAGTCAGAGTAAAAGAATCAATCAGGATGCTATCATTTTGCAGCCAGAGGAAGTGATTACCATGTTAAGTGAAGAAGGAAACTGATGTGAAAGAAATTCCAATTAAAAATTATGATTGACCTGCATTCATGCGTGACTTTGAAGTTATTTCAACAACTGCTGACAGACCTGTTCAAGGCTATCTCTACTTGGAATGGATAAATAGCCAGAGGAAAACTTTGTTATGATCTCCCTGCAAGTATTTGAAACATTTACCAATACATTATATTTTTGAGGGTCTAGATATGGGAAGGCGTTGGGTGCCAGCCTGCAGGTGGGACCTGGGGATCCCCCGAAATTACAGCTCATCTCCAAACTACAGAGATCAGTTCCCCCTGGAGAAAATTGATGCTTTGGAGGGTGGACTCTGTGGCACGATACTCCACTTGGGTCCCTGTCCTCCCTAGAATCCATCCCCAAATCTCCAGGAGCTTTCCAACCTAGATTTGGCAACTCTACCACCCCATCCCTCGCCAGTGGTCGGGGGGGGGGACCTGGTCACCCTAGCCCACCCTGTGATGGCGGCAAGTGGGTGTTACAGCACCCTGGAAGTGCAATTGTTGTTCTCTGCCTTGAGGGCCTTAATTGGGAGGAAAGACGGGATTTTTTAAAAATGCTTTAAATAAATAGAAATGTGTTGTAAAAGATGGATGGACCTTGCTTTTACTTACACCAACTTTAGTGCACCAATGTGCAGTATATTTAGAATAAACTTATCGTGAAGTTGCCAACACAGAAAATCTTATTAAAAAAACCTCGTCAAGTGGATTCTCCATTGCATGGGGGGTTGCCGGCAAAAGTATTTATCTGTTTTGGATAAAATAATAATAAGATTTCACACAGTGCTTTAAACGAGTACGCAAATTGCTTCTCACCCATTATTTCAGAACTCTGTCCAGAACCCCCATAAAGTAGTAAAGTGTTCTTATTCCTCTATTGCAATGCAAATGGGATTGGGGTTGAGAGAAAGTGACTTTTCTAACACTGTCCAGTGCTGTCACATCTGAGGATCCTATTGGACCAGAGATGTTCCAACTCACAGATGACGTTTTAAAGAATGTTCAGACAGCCAATTAGCGTCAAACCAATGAGTGGGAATGAGATCATATGAGCTGGCCCAGCCCAAATCTCCTTCTCCAGGTGTTGGGCCATCCACATGGGCTCTGGGCGGATGTCCTGATCAGCATATGGGGACCAGCAGGGGATGGGGTCAACAGACGATCTCATGAGCCTCTCCCCCATGGGTTAAATGAATAATTCTTCTGTCACAGTGCTACACAAGGTAATAATATGCAGTTCCGCAGGGCCTGCAAGACGGAGCTCTTCCGCCAGGCTTTCACATAGAAGCCGCCACTGCCACCACCACCAATGTAATACTATCGGGATTAGGAATCGCCCTTGGAAGTTCCGCCATAAATTGCATGGCACTGAAATGTGGGATTGGCTTGAACTATCTGCTGGACAGTGCCACCCGAATGGGGAGGATTTGAGGATGCCCTCAAAACAACTCAAGACCATCTTGTTTACAGAAAGCACTTTATTATTGTTATTGTTATTATTATTCATGATTTTACTGTTTTATCTGATTTTATGTATGGGCTCATGCCCCTTGTAAGCCGCCCTGAGCCCGCTTGCGGGGAGGACGGGGTAAAAAATGTCTAAATAAATAAATAATAGTAACAGCGATATTATGAATTCCATGGTCCTAAGCAGTAGTGCAGGATATCCTGAGAAGATGTCGGCTAGTTGTATACTACAATAGAAAGGGTCGCTCTGACATTTTCCGCACGAATGGCTCTTCCCGCTCTTGCATTTGTATTCCTCCACGGCTTTCACTCGTTCCCACAGAGGTTTTTGTAGTTCCTGGTGCAAAAACGCAGTTTTCCCCCTCTTGGGTGCAGCAAGGAAATTCCCAGAAACAGGGAAGTCTGGTGCTGCGCTGCAAGAGAGGACAAACTGCATTTTTGCATCTGGAACTGCAAAAACATCTGCGGAAATGAACAAAAGCGGCAGAGGAATACAAATGCAAGAGAGGGGAGAGCCGTTCGTGCAGGAAAGCGTCCCAGATTAGTGTCTTTGGGTCTGTTCCATTAATGGAGGCCTCATGATCAACCAATGCTTCAATTTGGCATTGCTCATAAAGAGGCTACTCGGTTTGAAATCTGCTTATTTATTCATTTATTTGCTTATTTACAGCCACCTTCCTCACTAACACTGAGGGCAAATTACAGGATAAAAATCAATGCTATCATACAGTATAAGACATCCAAGGAACACTGGGAGACCTGGTGTTCTCGACTCCATCACACACCCTCCAGAGCCACACCCCCGCAATGGAGGGAACCTGAGATGGACCCAGCCAAGAGGGCAATAAGCACAGCCTACCCACTGGCTGCCGCAGAGTCTCGAAGAGAACCTAGTGGCAGTTTAATGCTGTGTTTTTGGCCATTGGGGGAGGCAGCTCCTGGAGCACCACAGCGAGAAGGCAGGTTGGGACACAGCCCAAAGCTGGTGGAGGAAGCCAGGGTTGAAGGCGAGCAGGGTGCTGGCCTTGTGCAGGGGCAGGACCATGACTCAGAGGGAGAAGAGGAGTGGGTGAGACCTGGCAGGTGATGGGGGAAGTGCAGGGGATGCCGGAGGTCAGGAGCTGAATGGCCAGACCTATGGATGGGTGGCAGCAGGAGTGATAGGCTCGGCAAGGCTTTAAGTCTGGAAGTCCCTCAGCATGCCTGATTGGCTGGTTGCCAGTTGAGAGGGGAGGTGATTGGGCATGGGAGGATGGGAGGGGTCCAGTGGGTAGAAGAGATTTCCTGTGTGTGGAGGAAACATTCCGGTCTGGGCAACAGTGGACAAGAGTGAAATGGAACTCCCTCCTTGACCCACTCTGACGCCTTGGAGAGGCCTCGCCTAACAGAGTGAGATGACAGTGGAAGGCCAGCAGAGGGGACTCATGCCGGATGACCCGCCCAGATGCCATAGGACTGGGAAATCTGCTTTCCGTGTGAAGGGCCCCTTTCACATGTAGGGCTGCCAAATGGGGGCGGGGAGCGGGTAAACCCCTGCTTTGGAGGCCTGATTTTTGCCGCCGCGGAATCGGGCCCTGGGGGGAACCCCACCCCGGCGGGCGCATCACCAGAAAGTGACGTTATGACGCCGGGCACGCTGGGGGCAGGGCCACGACCATCCGTAGTCGTGGCCCTGCCCCCAGCGTGCCCGGTGTCATAACGTCACTTCCTGGTGATGCGCACGCGCTCCAGGATCCACCCGGGAGTCCCCCGCTGCAGAGGTAAGTTATACTTGGCAACCGTATTCACATGGCAGATGCAAATGTAATATGCAAACACATTAATCAAACCTACCTCATTCACATGAAAGGGACTTTTCCTGGTGAGCCCCTTGTCAAACTGCACGTCCCACTGTCCTTTGAAGTACAGGGCATTCACGTGGAGCAGCTGAGTTCGGGAAGTGATGTTTCTCTTGCATAAGAGATTCTTAATTTTGCCTTAAAAGAAACGTATGTTCATTCTGTTTTGCTGTAAACTCCAAGCGAGCTTATGTGAAATGATCAGATAAAAACAATCAGATTTTGCGTCTCGGGGAGTCTTTTGACATTATATGTTAGGGGTGTCAAGGGAAACAGAAGAAACTCAGGCCTTCTATCGTTTATGCCAGAGGTGCTGAACTCATTTGTTACAAGGGCCAGATCTGACATAAATGTCACTTTGTCGGGCTAGGCCATGTGTGCCATAAAACGTAATGCCAGGTACCGGAGATATAAACTGTGTAAAGGACAGCAGCTGGTTAGCTCTGAGTTGGTGTATCCTCACTGTAAGGCCCCGTGGGCTGGGCGGGGGGCCCAGATGAAAACCCACATGGGCGGACTGGAGAGCCAGCGGTGCAGCACTGGGCAGGTGCTCCCATGATGCTTGACTGCTACAGATGAGGTTATTCCCCCATGCTGAAACCACAATCGGAGTGCCCCCCACTCTCCTCCCCCAAGCAGTTTCCTTTTCCCTCCCTTGCTCTAGTTGCTCACGGGCCACATAAGAGCCCTGGATGGGCCGGTTCTGGCCCCCGGGCCTTATGTTTGACACCTCTGGTTTATGCTTTACATACAGTGCACATCTTCTCTGTGATGAGTTTGTATATCTCATTAACATAAGAACTTAAGAGATGCCAATGTTGGATCATCCCAAAGGTCCATCCAGTCCAACACTCTGTCACACAGTGGCCAAAAATACCAGGTGCCATCAGGAGGTCCAGCAGTGGGAACAGGACAGCCCTCCCACTGTTGACCCCCACAAGCACCAAGAAGACAGAGCATCACTCGCCCCACACCCCCTATCTATACCTTGTGGCTAATAGCCACTGATGGACCTCTGCTCCATATGCTTATTTAATTCCTTTTTGAAGCCGTCCATGCTTGTAGCCGCCACCACTTCCTGTGGCAGTGAATTCCACGTTTTAATCACTCTTTGGGTGAAGAAGTACTTCCTTTTATCTGTTCTAACCCGACCGCTCAGCAATCTGTTGTCTATCAGTTTTAGGACCTCCTCTCTCGTCACCTCAATCTGACTCAGGTCTTTCAACACCCCTCCAGAAATCAGCGGTTCTGGAGTGGGCAAGCACTTCTCATCTTCCACAGTGAAGACAGAGGCAAAAAATGCATTTAGCTTCTCAGCCATTTCCCTATCATCCTTCAGTACTCCTTTTACCCCACTGCCTCCCTGACTGGTTTCCTGCTTCTAATGTATTTGAAGAAAGTTTTATTGTTGGTCTTTACAGCTATAATTTCCCATACAAGTTAAGCCTGCAATTTTCCTCTTGTCAGGCAGTCCATGTCACTAGCCATGGTCTCAGTGGACAATTTCAATCCACCTTCCTGTAGAAAAGCAACAGATACCCCCTCATCTCTCTGAGATGAACCGAACCAGAGACTTTTCATCTCCTGTCAGCTTTCCCCCATTGCACATGAAGAGATGCACGTGCTTTGCACATTACATGGGTAACAAAAAATGAGGAAGCATAATTTACTGGAGTGTGCTCTGTCACCATTAGTTTGTGTTATACAGATCTGAGGGATGAACTGGCAAGCTGGGGAGGAAGTTTACTGTGTATCCATTAAAAATACAGAACAGATTAGGTCATATCTGAGATTTTTCAGCTGCTAGGTCACTGTGGTTTGTTTGTTTTTTAACAACTCAAAGACGAGCAGCTGACTGGGGATTTGTTCATACCATGCGTTTGGACTTCAACCCATGTGTTTATAATCTTCCTGAATTCTTCTGGATCATTTTGAAAGTCCACATTGCTGACTTGGGTCAGGTACAACTTCAGTGCACAGAACACGAATTGCTGCGTGGGCGAGGAGTAGAAGATGTTGGGAAAAAAATATTGATAAATCAAACCAATTTCTCATGGCGTACAGTAGAGTTTTGTCCTCCTCTTTTCAAGAATACCTGAACTTTTTAGCTATATGGCTAGGGTTAGTTGTAATTATAACCACCAAAATCAAGTATGGAATGGATTTATTCAGAGTCATTGACCAACACATAAAACGCTTTACATTTTGTAACATAGAAACAGGGCTATTTGGGGGCAGGAACGCACAGGAACGGAGTTCCGGCTGGCTTCAGAGTTGACCACGCCCACTACAGCCAAAACCTCTGTGTGCGTGGCTACAGAGGGAAGGCCTGGAGAGCGACCCGCCCCCGGCGACTCCGAGGTGGACAAGCCAGGGGGGCCCCTGGAAGATTCGGGGAAGCATTTGCTAGGCTCCTCACAGCATATTAGGGTGTGGCCTATTATGCTAATGAGTTCCTGCTGGGCTTTTTCTACAAAAAAAGCCCTGCATAGAAAGAATCTGCCTTTTAAGAAATTTGCTATCGGATAGCCGGGCAGAAGTTACTTATCAGGTGGCTAGGATTGGATGGCTTGCCCAAAGAATTAGAAAATCTATAGTAGCTTGAAAAGAGGAGAACTAAGATTTAGTTTTATTAATTTTAACCATTATGGTTTTATGGCTTTTCTAATCAGTCTTAAAATTTTTGCTTCTATTTTAATGTGACGTTTTCTTTCTATGTTACAAAATGTAAAGCGGTTTATGTGTTGGTCAATGATGGTGAATAAATTCATTCCTTCTGCAAAATCAAGTAATCACATCACAGGGTAAGTTATGCAAAGTCAAGCAGGGCCAGATTAAGACATGCTGAAGCCCTGAACTGTGTCAAGATTTTAAAGCCTCATAGCATCAACAAAAAATAAAAAGGGTGATTTTGAGCCATTCACTCTGAGGCCCTAAATTGTAGCTTACTTAACCTGTGCATAAATGAAGCTGTGAAAGGAAGTAAGAGCAGAATTCAAGGAAGTCAAAGTCTTTTAGATGTTGTTACGGCATGCAGCCCTGATATTCACTGCTCTCATGCTACTCGGCATGTGGTAAAGAGCTGAAAACGATCCCTGAAAGAAATAAGTACATCCCAGCCCTGTGAAGTCTTTTACAGTTTGGTGTAGTCGTTAAGTGCGCGGACTCTAATCTGGGAGAACCGGGTTTGATTCCCCACTCCTCTACTTGCACCTGGCTGGATGTCCTTGGGCAAGCCGTAGTTCTGATAAGAGCTGTCCTTGAAAAACAGCAGTTTCTGTCAAGAGCTCTCTCAGCCCACCTACCTCACAGGCAGTGTTCCCTCTAAGCTGAGTTAGTGTGAGCTAGCTCACAGTTTTTTAGCCTCCGGCTCACCCATTTTTGTCTTAGCTCAGGAAGGATGGCTCCAGATCAAACTAACCTATGCAGTAGCCAAATCGCTCGCTCACCATTTTAATGCCAGGAGCTCAGAAAGTAGAATTTTTGCTCACAAGACTCCACCGCTTAGAGGGAACATTGCTCACAGGGTGTCTGTTGTGGGGAGGGGAAGGGAAAGGAGTTTGTAAACTGCTCTGAGACACCTTTGGGTAGTGAAGGGTGGGGTATAAATCCAATCTCCTCTTCTTCTTTTACCTCACAGGCTGTCTGTTGTGGGGAGGGGAAGGGAAAGGAGTTTGTAAGCCGCTCTGAGACTCCTTTGGGTAGTGAAGGGCAGGGTATAAATCCAAACTCTTCTCCTTCTTTTACCTCACAGGGTGTCTGTTGTGGGGAGGGGAAGGGAAAGGAGTTTGTAAGCCGCTCTGAGACTCCTTCGGGTAGTGAAGGGCAGGGTATAAATCCAAACTCTTCTCCTTCTTTTACCTCACAGGGTGTCTGTTGTGGGGAGGGGAAGGGAAAGGAGTTTGTAAGCCGCTCTGAGACTCCTTCGGGTAGTGAAGGGTGGGGTGTAAATCCAAACTCTTCTCCTTTTACCTCACAGGGTGCCTGTTGTGGGAAGGGGACGGGGAAGGAGTTTGTAAGCCGCTCTGAGACACCTTTGGTAGTGAAGGGCGGGGTATAAATTCAATCTTCTTCTTTTTACATAATACATAATAATCCCAATACAAAGCTCCACAATTGCTTGGTTTATGGATGCTTATACTGTCCAGCAATCTATTGACAGAGACAACTATAGGATAAGTGGGGTTGCTGTGCTCTGTTCCATCGGAAAATCAAATTCTTTCACTAATGTACATGCAACATATTTGGAGAGGAACACCAAGTGCAACCTACCTGGTTGAAAGCGATGGAGTCATCTCCATAGAGACGACTTGCAAAGCTGAGCTCATAGTTTGTGGTGGCTTTGTTGAGGCGGGCCAGGATTCTATGGATTTCAGTATGGTTACCTTCGGGCTTCTCACATTCATACTCGGGAACATTCTAATAATAAAACAATCAGCTCAGTACTGCAAAACATGGTTCTGTTTGTTTAGTTGAAATAATTAGTTGTGGTTCTTAGACAAGCAGCTGTGTCGAGGCTACTGGAACATCTTAGGAGCCAGGAGACTAATATCTAAATATTCAAAACTCTGAATCCTCAGAAAAGTCATCATTTGCTACTTTGGCTTCTTTATTTAAATATAAGAGAATTACATTTGCCTTTCTCCACAACAGACTTGTGTAGGTCTATGCTTATACATTCTGGTTTACCAAATACCCTATGGGGTGAAGCTGTCAACACAGCAGTGTATTTGCACAATAGAGTACCCTCGAAAGTAACAGGAACCACTCCATTTGAACAGAACAATTCAGGACATGTGTAGGGCTATGCTTATACATTCTGGTATAAGCATAGCACTACACATGTCCTGAATTGTTCTGTTCAGCGTTTCAGAAGAGCCATTGTGTTGAGGTGAGTATGGGATAGACACTTTGTGTTCCATCCCTTCAACTTTTAGATAAAAAGTGCTATTGTAAAGTCATTTATGATTCCACTCCCTCCATTGGAAGACTGCTACTACTTCCAGCATTACTTAGACTACTACTGCTCCTTCTAGTACTTCTATTACTATTATTTCTACTACTATTTTACTATAATCACTTGCACTTCTCATAATAATAATAACAATAATAATAATAGTTATTATTATTATTATTATTATTATTATCCTCTTCCGGCTACTACCACTGCTGCTGTTATTACTGCTACTGTTACTTCTGCTACATAATGTTGATGGTATTTTACCATTTATACCTGGCTTTAGCATGTTTGTAGTGGTTTATCTATGTTATTTCCATAATCCCTGCAGAATCACTGAATGATAAGTCATTATTATTCCCCTCCAATTGATGCTGGAGGTTCTCTACCTTGCCTAAGGTCACCCACAAGTCCATAGACTTGCACACATCTTAAGAATAAGGTAGAGCAATGAAATATGGCTTAGAAGGACAAATATTCCGTGATCATATTCCACAAACAAAAGCTGTCTTTTCTGTTTAATAACATATTCAAGAGCGGCGATCATATATATCTGTCACTGGACTCAAAAGCATTGTTGTTACCTCTCTGTGCATATTACTCCTTTATTGCAATGAAAGGAGCTTTGAAAATCTGAATGTTTTATATGAACATTCCTCTTTCTAACACATTCATCCATAGCCTCAGAGCTGTCCTATCCTGGTAATACTATATGGTTAGAATTGTCTGAAGCACGGACTCTAAAACACATACATGGAACACCTCCTCACTTATCATCTGTAGTTTGTATTTAGGATGCCATTCAGGATGAAGTGATGGTCATCGGCTTGTAAGTGTATTAAAAGGAGATTGGATAAATTCATGGGGGACAGCTTCATCCACAATTATTAGCTACAAAGCCTACACAGAATTTCCATGTTCAAAGAACTCTGAATACCGGTTGCCAGGAGTGGGCCAACCACAAGGGAAGGCTTTTGCCTCCGTCTCATCCTGTAAGCATTCCAGGGATCCAGTTGGCCACTGTTGGAAATGGGATGCCGGACTAGACGGGCCATTGGTTGGATACAGTGGGGATCTTCTTAGGCTCTTATGTTCATACCTGTTGAGGGCATGGTGAAGATGAATGTTCAGGTGCCAGTTTGATCTCAGGGTGTGGAGATTGGCTATGTTTTTTGCTTTCTTCCTCTATCTCCCGATGAAGAACCTAACATGGAATTTTGGAGAGTTTTCATTAATAAATAATAGAGACCTATTATGGAAGATGGTTGCATATCAATGTGCAATGGTGCTTGGTGGTCCACCCATTTCTATTTTCAGCCCTCGCTTTCCAATTTGCAGTGTGTGTGTGTGTGTGTGTGTAAAAGGTAAAGGTTCCCTTGCTCGAAAGCCAGTCGAGTCCGACTCTAGGGTTGCAGTGCTCATCTCTGTTTCAAAGCCGAAGAGCCAGCGCTGTCCGAAGATGTTTCCGTGGTCATGTGGCCGGCATGACTAAACACCAAGGCACACGGAACGCTGTTACCTTCCCACCAAAGTGGTACATACATACATACATACATACATAGGTCAAGTTGCCAACTGCAACAGAGTGAATCTATCACTGCTGTTCAAGTCCCAGGGAGGGAAGCTGACAGCTTCGTAGGGTTCTGGGAGAACTTCTTTAAAAACCCTGGCAAGGTGAAACGAATCTCCTTTAAAGAAAAAGTAATATCCACTAGCGCCTTTAAAGCACCACTGATAGATATATATAGATAGATATATACATATACATACACATACATATACATATACATATATATACACATACATATACATATACATATATATATATGCAACAAGAAACTACATTTTTAAATGAAAGAAAATATGAAAGTGAACAAGTTGGTACCTTTTCGGCAAGGTACAATGTAGTATGTTATACTGGCCGCACACTGATGTTGGACTCATGCTCAGATTGATTTCTATTCTACTTTACCCCAGTCCACATGTGAATCCTACTTACATCTGTTTATAAGAAAGAACCAACATGCATTCACTTTATGAATAAAACTGGCAATCAGTACAGAGATGAATTGGGGTTTGAATCACACGTTCAGCTGTACATGTGTTGACTGTAACATGAGAATTACTCAACACTCCTATAAAGAAAAATCAAGTGCGCTGGACACAGACTGAATGTGCAGTTTGGTGTAGTGGTTAAGTGTGCGGACTTTAATCTGGGAGAACCAGGTTTGATTCCCCACTCCTCCATTTGCACCTGCTGATGTGACCTTGGGTCAGTCACAAGCTCTGGCACAGCTGTCCTTGAAAAAGAGCAGTTTGTGTCACTCAGCCCCACCCACCTCACAGGGTGTCTGTTGTGGGGAGGGGGAGGGAAAGGAGTTTGTAAGCCGCTCTGAGACTCCAAGTGAAGGGCAGGGTATAAATCCAATCTCTTCTTCTTCTTCTTCTTCATTCTCTGTAACTCTAGTCAAGTGATAATGACTAGATGTGTGTCATAATGCAGAACTATTATGCACACTGAAAATGGGGTTGGCCTGCAGTAAACGTGAAGTGCAAATGTAACTTCAGAAAAAGGATGGGAATTTGATCTATTCCAATGTGCACTCAGATAACTGTACTAGCCAGGAAATCCATTTGGTAGGGACCTGACTCTACAGTGTACATAGCTTTATTGTTAATTCAACCCTTTTTTATTTGATTAATGACCACAATAGGGCTCTAAAGTTCATATGTTTAAAGCATTTAGCTGGTATCTCTAATGTAACTGGTTTACATATTGTCATCCATGTTTTGACCAGATACTAGAGTAGATATCATTAGCAATATCTGTTTTTACCACTTTTGTTTTTCTGTTTTTACCACCTGAGGACTTTGAGGGTGGAACCAGGAGACTTTGGGGGTGGTACCTAGCAAGGATGTGACATCACTTTGTGAAGTCATGTCCTGTGATGACACTTCCAGGTCAAAGGTCTGGTGATGCCACTTCCTAAGCTTCTCCCCTTCTGATGATGTCACATCCTGCACCAAAACCCCACCCCTTTCTGCGATGTCACTTTCAGACCACTCCCCCAATCCCACCGCTTCCTCTGAAGTCACCTTGTGGCTCTCGAGCATCTGACATTTAGTCTATGTGGCTCTTACATGAAACACGTTTGACCGCCCCTGATTTAGAGCCCCAATTTGAATGTAATATGGATTTTGTCTTTTTTTCCCAGCTAAAAAATATCATCTATGATTGAGCCACTGGAGAGTTACACTGTCATCCTAAACTAGGGCTGCCAAGTCCCCCGGGGGGCGGAACCCCCCCGCCCCAGAGGACCGTTCCCTGACGCTGGGGAATCGGGCCCCGGGGGGAACCCCGCCCCAGCATACGCGTCACAGGGAAGTGACGTTATAACGCCGGGCACACTGGGGGCGGGGCCACAGCCATACAAGGGAAAACTCTATGGTTTTCGGGCAGGGTAAGTCCGACTTGGCAACCCTATCCTAAACAGAGTTACACCCTGCTAAGCCTATTGACTTCACTGGATTTAGAAGGCACTGGCAGCTAGCCAGTTGTATTTTTATACCTAGAAAGGAAAAGAAAAATTAAGTGCATGGTAAAACACTTCAGCATGTACTTCATATCAGAGCTTAGATCAAGCTGAGTAGCCATGTTAGTCTGTAGCAGTAGGAATGAGCAAGAGTCTAGTAGCGCCTTAAAGACTAAAAAAAAATGTGGCACAATAGGAGCTTCCATGAGTCACTTGTCACTTGAGCCATGACTCACGAAAGCTCCTCCCCTGCCACAAATTTTGTTAGCCTTCAAAATGCTACTGGACTCTCGCTCATTTCTGCTGCTACAGACAGACGAAGTAGGGTTGCCAAGTTGAATCTTCTTACCGGCGGGGGATCGTCGCCGGGCTCCCGGAGCTCTCCTCTGATGCGCACGCATGCCGCCAGCACGTCCCGGAAGTGACGCGTGACATCGATCATGGGTCATGGCCCCGATCATAGAGTTTTCCCTTCGATGATTGGGGCCACACCCCCAACATGATTGACATGGTTGCATCACCTCTGGTGACGCAGCCACGCTGCGCTTCGGGGGGCGGAGTTCCCCCCGGGGCCCGATTTCGCAGCGGCAGAAATCGGGCCTCCAAAGTGGGGGTTTACCCACCCCTTGCCCCCACTTGGCAGCCCTAAGATGAACCCATCTTGATCTGTCTCCATGGAAGAGGTACCACATTTAGTACAGAATGAAAATCCATCCGCCTTGTGAAGAAACATGCACAGGTACAGACAGACATCACCTTTCTCACCCAATGCTGAAGACTTAACATCATATTCAAGCTTAATGATGCCTACCTTTTCTATTTCACGTGCCGTGCTGCCCCGAGCTCCATAAAGGAGAAGACTCAGGGCAGCCCCAAGATTTGCAGGAGAAAACAAGAGGTTTTCGCAGGGTTTGGCCTTGCTCATCTTCTGGTAAAAGTGAAGGGCAAATTTCACATTTGATTCAGTGATGGACGATCCAATGCAGAAGACTTAACATCATATCCAAGCTTAACGATGCCTACCTTTTCTATTTCACGTGCTGTGCTGCCCCGAGCTCCATAAAGGAGAAGGCTCAGGGCAGCCCCAAGATTTGCAGGAGAAAACAAGAGGTTTTCGCAGGGTTTGGCCTTGCTCATCTTCTGGTAAAAGTGAAGGGCAAATTTCGCATTTGATTCAGTGATGGACGAGGCCATTTTGAAATTCAAAATATCTAAAATAAGAACACGATTTAAATATTCAATATTAATGCCCTGTACTTATGAGGATACTGTCCTCATAACAAAGGTCATGAGGCAACCAACTTACTTTATACTAGATAGCATATTACCCACATCACTGTATTATGTGAAAGAGACCTCTTTGCTTGGAAGGAAAATCCTTTGTGTATTCACCCTTCCTACAAAGACCTTGGACCAAATTACATAGAGTTGTCTCATTTCATCCTCAGAATAGTCCCCTGAAGTATATCGGGCAGACTAAGGCCTGATTCCCAATCTTAGCCCAAGCAATCCAAGTGGCCGCTTGGGATGCCAGGCAAGGTCATTAACAGAGAGCAGTTGGGCAGGAGGCTGTGACAGACATGGCTGCCATCCTGGACTCTTGGTGCCTGTAAACAGGTCCAAAGTGAGCCCCTGAGGCACCAGTAGGGCACTGCCACACCCCAGCTGGCAGCAGAATGCCATAAGAGTCAATAGTTACAAGACACACCCATCATTAGCATCTGGGTCCCACCATCAGAGTCTGGCTGCTCCCCAGTTGTGGTGAAAAAAAATATCTTCAGCTGGCCCTGGGGCTGAGAAGTATGGAATTGCCCAAGTCTCCAAAATGGTGCCTGCCAATGGATTTCCTGAGTCTCATTCACTTTTTTGGACAAAGCATCTCTTCCTCAGAGCACGCCAGTCCTGGCTCTCTTCTGCCTCACTGCAGTGGGAGAAGCTTCAGAAGAACCCCAGTGGCATTTCGTGGTCTCTGCAGGGTGCCTCCACTGACAGACGGCTTCCTCCATCTTAGAAGAATGCTTGGTTTGCAGCCTCCTGGCATGTGATTGGCCCTTGCACCCTGTGGTAGCCGTTTTGCCATTTCCTCCCACCGCAGCCCATGGACTCAACAAGATTGGCCAGGAAATTCTCAGTGGGGGGGGCACTGGGTGAACTGGTGGGGCGTGACATCACAAACTTAAAAAATAAATCAAAATATTAAAAAATACAATAAACACACCAAATTTCCAGCAGAAATTTCACTCGTTCCAGAAGGCTGTTTCCACATGGGAAAAGCTGTGCCTTACTCTAGAAGCTTGCTACTGTCCTCCTCCAGCAACCCCCCTGGCCGTGTCCCGACCGCCGGGAGCCATGCATGCAGCAGAAGCAGCAGGAGCGCCGAGGCAGCTCCCGCCCACCCCCCACAGCCAGACGAATGGAGGGGATGCCCCAAGCCCAACCTACAAAATATGACAGTCACTGCAAGCAATGTGGCACACTGGACTGGAACCCCTGGCAGAAGGGTGGGAAGACAGCCCCCGGCCCCTGCCAGCAGTACCTGCGCCATGATGGCCAGGCCCAGCGAATCCTTGTCGGTGCTGTCTCAGCATTTCTTCCAGGAAGCTCGGCTGCTCTTGGCATACTCAGCCCAGTACAGAGGAGAGCGTCGAACGATCTACCCACAGCCAGACAGGGCTCAGGTCTCATTTGTTCAGCGATCGGAGATAAGGCAGCAGGCAAGAGGAGGCAGCCGGCAGCCCCAACACTGCCCCGTGGGCCGCAGACTGACTCAGATAGGCAGCAGTGGCCTCGGGAGATGTTCTAAAAAACCTCTCCAACTCGGCTCAATGAATTGATCACTGAACGAATGAGAACGAATTGCATTTTGCTATTTTATTTGGCATTTTTTAAAAAAAACTATTTATTTTTCGGCCCAGAAAAAAGAGAGAGACTGAAGATTCCCTGACTGTGCCCGGGGTCATTTTGGAAACCCCACGTGCACCTTCTATCTATATCTAGATAGATAGATAGATAGATAGATAGATAGATAGATAGATAGATAGATAGATAGATAGATGATAGATAGATAGATAGATGATAGATAGATAGATAGATAGATAGATAGATAGATAGATGATAGATAGATACACATATATCTATATCTATATACACACACACACACACACATATATATATATATTTAAATGAATTTTTTAAAAAATCCACAGGGCAGCATTCATCCATGGGGGCATTGCCCCCAAATGCTATGGCTATGGGCCTGTTGAAGACCACTGCGTTAACACTGAGGGTTTGAAACTAGGTCCACCTGGGTGCTCAACACCCCATTGCTCTATGCCACACTGACATTCAGAGGAACGTTCCACATAAATTAGAGTCATAATCTCACTAACAGACACTTGGTAAAGCAGCTGCCATTCTCAACTAAACAGTGAAATTTTAAGTTCTGTTTTTCTTCTCCATGTCTGCCTCTTGCAGTATTTGTTGAGCTTCATTTCCGTTGGATATGAGGTTGATGCTGGGCTGACGGACTACTACAGTCTGACCACTGATGGATACTAGCAGTAGGTTCACCCAGTTCTACTCATGGAATCACCCTCTTAGCTGGTGCTCACCGACCATATCACAACCAGGAAATATCCCTATGCCAGGACAATGAAAGAAGCAGACTGACGACACTGTTTAAAGGGGGATTTTGATACTACGTACTAAAAAGTCTATTAGCTCCTATAAGAAAAGATTTCCAACTCCTAAAAGAAAGTGACCTGTAAAAAAACAATAACAACATTGATGGGTTATTTAGTGTGATAAGCAGTGTTCCCTCTAAGCTGAGTTAGTGTGAGCTAGCTCACAGTTTTTTAGCCTCCGGCTCACACATTTTTGTACTAGCTCAGGAAAAATGGCTCCAGAGCAAACTGATTTATGCAGTAGCCAAATTGCTCACCCACAACTTTAATGCCAGTAGCTCACAAAGTCTAAAAGAAAGGGACCTGTAAAAAAGCAATAACAACATTTGACGGATTATTTAGTGTGATAAGTACAAATTAATCTTAACTCTACAAACTGTACATAGCTTCGTGGACTAGGTAATGAGCTGAACTGGGGGGGGGGGAATTGGAGACATGCCCATCAACAAAAGCAATAGTAACCGTTCAACTTTGGAAAAAAAATAGTACATTTACCTTGTTTTCCAGTGTGCAGTTTAGACCAGCAAGATGAGGCTTGTGTGTTGCTCACTGGAGACTATATATGTGTGTGTGTGCGTTAGTGTGTGCATTTCCCACTCCTACTCTGTTTCAGTTTGCATCTGTTGCGTACTGATGACTAAATCAAATTTGCCTAATGTAGTCTTAGGCTTGCTCATAAAATGGGCCTCTCTCTCTCTTTTTTTGTAATCACAGAGAACGGAGATTTAGCATATCCCACAGACAGCAGAAGTGTGCTTTAACTTACACTCTGATCCTAGACAACTTTGTCCAGAAGTAACATGACTGGACTCACCTGGGGATGCTTTTGCAGCTGGGGGGCTTGGGAATGAGTGAGGATATAAGGATTCTGGGGAGGATATACCTCACACACCTTGCTGGAGGAAAATTAGGCCACAGCTTGTACTGAATGATCCTGCGATTGCACTCAGTAAAACCTGGGGCCTAATTTTCCTTCAACAAGGTGCCTGGGATCTATCCTCCCTGCACTCACACTCACTCCCTTGCCCCTGAGGCCACAGTAAACATGAGAAACTTGATGGAGTCCAAGAGACTCATTTCCAAGTGAGTATTCTTAGGATTACTTACAGTGCAATCCTAACTAGTTAACACCCCTCTAAGTCCACTGAAGTCAGGGCTTAAAGGGGTGTGACTCTGCTTATAAATGTACCCTACGTTCAGAAAGCTATTATATGTAAGTTCCCAAAAGCCTCTAGCTCACCACTGCTAGAAACCCCACAGTAGACTCGATAATGTGTCTCTCTTCTGAAATAGCAAGGGCACTTTTTATGTTCCCCCTTGTCAATTCCCTTTTCTCTTGATGAGCATATTCTTGGTGAAGTTGTGATCATGGCACCCAATGTCACACAGACTATACCCCCCCAAAAATTGGCTGAGCCGGGACACATTCAGGTGTGATTTTATTTATTTTATTGAACTTGTATCCCAACCTCCACGCAAGCGGGCTCAGGGCGGGCCCCATCAGTGCTAGCACAATATACAATAACAATTATAACCGATTGAAAACAACAAGATTCAAACAATACAATAATCATAAAATCCTAAAATATTGTGCAGGATCTAATCAATAACTCAGTAGCTAAAATAGAATGATAGTGTAGTTCCCAGGTGGCTGTTCAAATCCAGGGCAATGACAGGATGCCAGTCAAAAGGGGGGAGGACCCCCACTGGCTCAAATAAAAGCCTGGTGGAAGACCTCTGTCTTGCAGGCCCTACAGAATTGTAATAAATCCCACAGGGCCCTGATCTCATACAGGAGCTTATTCCACCATTTTTGGCCCTGGCCCCAGCTCTAGATGAGGAAAGTGGGATGTCCCTGGGGCCGGGGACTACCAAAGAGGTGTTGATTTGTACATCTCAATGCTCTACGGGGCTCATATGGGGAGAGGCGGTCCCGAAGGTAAGCTGGCCCCTGGCCATATGGGGCTTTAAAGCTAAGTACCAGCACCTTGAATGTAGTTCCCAGGTGGCTGTTTGAATCCAGGGCAATGATAGGAGGCCAGTCAAAGGGGGGGAGGACCCCCACTCACTCAAATAAAAGCCTGGCGGAAGAGCTCTGTCTTGCAGGCCCTACGGAATTGTAATAAATCCCACAGGGCCCCGATCTCATACAGGAGCTTATTCCACCATTTTTGGCCCTGGCCCCAGCTCTAGATGAGGAAAGTGGGATGTCCCTGGGGCCGGGGACTACCAAAGAGGTGTTGATTTGTACATCTCAATGCTCTACGGGGCTCATATGGGGAGAGGCGGTCCCGAAGGTAAGCTGGCCCCTGGCCATATGGGGCTTTAAAGCTAAGTACCAGCACCTTGAAACGGATTCAGAATTCAGTAGGCAGCCAGTGCAGTTCATGCAGCACTGGGTGGATGTACAGGCTTCACCATCAACACCTGCACTGCTATGTTCTGCACCCACACTGCTGCATTCTGAATCTTCTGGACTTTGAGCTGGTTTCAGCCTTGCCAGTCTCCAAGTGGGGCCTCCTTCCCACTTGCCTACCTGCCCACAGTATAGCTGATGTTCTTGTGGCTCCGTCCCTCCGTAAGATGCAACAAGGCAAGGGAGCTGGCACAACGAAATTACTCACATCTGGCGCAACAAAATTACTGTTGCATATTTATGTTTTTAAAATTGCTTTTCTACTTAAAAAGCATCCCATTAATCATAGCTTTTAAAAATCGAAAATGACAACACCAACAAAACTGTCAGTTCCAAAACGACAAAGGTGGCAGGAGACTAGGGCTGCCAAGTGGGGGCAGGGTGCGGGTAAACCCCTGCTTCGGAGGCCCGATTCCCGCTGCCGCGGAATCGGGTCCCAGGGGGAACTCCGCCCCCAGAGCGCAGCGTGGCAACCATGCAACCACATCAATCACGTTGGGGGCGTGGCCCTGATCGTCTGAGGGAAAACTCTATGGATTTCCCTCCGACGATCAGGGCCACGCCTTCAACGTGATCGACGTTGCGCGTCACTTCTGGTGACGTGCTGGCGGCTCGTGCGCGCAAAGCACGCACGCACATTGACAGATGGCTCCCAGAGCCCAGCGAGGCTCCTCCGCCGGTAAGAAAAATTGACTTGGCAACCCTACAGGAGACATCATTCATTCAACTTAGCTTTAAGTGAGGGACAACAAGTTACAATTCACTCCGTGGGTGCATTTTGAAAAAGGGGTGGCTTGGCTGGCCCCTTGGAGCAGACGGTTCCAAAGCTACGGTGCCATTACAAAGAAAGTCCTGTCCTTACAAGGGTCTGCATTGCAGAGTGATAAGATGCATCAAATCCAAACGAATGGCGTGGTTCAGATGAGTGAGGACCTTGCTACCAGGGATCTGTTGGCAGAGTAATTAACACAGTAACCGTGCAGAATCTGATAAAGGAGTAGATAAAGTTTTATTTAGGAATTAACATATTTGATAGGAAAGAGGGGAGAGAGACAGGTTTCTAACTACCTCTCTAGCTGAGAGAGAGGGTAAGACTGAGTGTGGCACTTCCAAGAAGATGGGGGAAATTGCCCTAAGAGTAGCAATCTGGAGACAGGCAAGGAATGACACTTGACAGGAGAGAAGGTGCTGACCTCAGTATCCTATCTAGTTGTCTTCTTGCTGCCCACTGCAGGGTCTTCTTCTCTTCTTCTTTGTATAGCAGGCATTGCCCTTTCCAACAAGTTCAAGGCCATTTAGGGCTCTAACAGTGCCAAGCAAAGTTGCACCCTTCTACAGCCACTGACTCCAATGGACTTAGAAGGATAGAAACCTGCTTAGAATGGGGCTGTGAAAGTCACTCTTTAATGACACCTCGAATCAGGCAGAGTACTTGGTAGTATAGAGAGAAATAATACAGCTTAGTCACCTGTGGCTTATCCCTGAAAACAGAAAGGCTACCATATGTCACTTGGATATGCATGCTGTACATCTCGGAAAAATCACTGCTTTCCTTCTACCACCACTATCCCCAGTTGTTATTGTTCAGTCGCACAGTCGAGTCCAACTCTTCGCGACCCCATGGAAAAGATCACGCCAGGCCCTCCTGTCTTCCGCCGTCCTCTGAAGTTGGCTCAATTTCATGTTCGTTGCATCTATGACACTAACCATCTCATCCTTTGCCGTCCCCGTCTTCTTTGACCTTCAATCTTTCCCAGCATCAGGGTCTTCTCCAGTGAGTGCTCCCTTCTCATTTGGTGGCCAAGGTATTTGAGCTTCAGTTTCATTATCTGGCCTTCCAGGGAACAGTCAGGGTTGATTTCTTTTAGGATTGACTGATTTGATCTTCTTGCAGTCCAAGGGACTCTCAAGAGTCTTCTCCAGCACCATAGTTCAAAAGAATCTATTCTTCGGCGCTCGGCCTTCCTTATAGTCCAACTCTCGCAGCCATACATGACTACTGGGAATACCATTGCTTTGACCATGCGGACTTTTGTTGGCAGGGTGATGTCTCTACTTTTTATCATGCTGTTATTTTTTTTTGATGTTGAGCTTCAAGCCTACTTTTGTGCTCTCCTCTTTTACCCAGTAGGTGTCTTTAAGCGAGAGGTTGAAAGAACGCGTGGTTTTGCATGGGCTAAACTGCTGTGAACTGGAGCAACGGAGCATAGGCACTGTGGTTAGGAAGAACTGCACATCTCGGGTTGCTCCGTGTTTGTGATTTATTCCTTTCTTCCACTAAACTACAATCTTTCTGAGTGTGTGCAAGGAGGGTTTTTTGTTAATGAAGTCAACAGTGAAACTATCCCCTACAGTCTGACTCCCTTTGACTTTAATAGTCAGAAACAAAACTGAGAAAATATGCTGTTAAATTTGCCTGTGTATAATAAACTTCCTGAAATCTACCATTAAGGGCTTTTGCTTACACTCAAGTTACTCCTGATTTTCTTGGGAGTCGATCCACAAGCATTAGAATTGGTGTGGGCGCGGTTGTTCAGCACATCTGTCTTCCCTCTGCATTTTCACAGTTGTGGAGTCAGTTTATTTTCTTCTGCACAAGCCAATAATGATGATTTTCAAGGGTGTGTGCGTTTGTCATGGGTGGCATCACAGCAGACATGCACTCTTTTTAAAAATACATTTATTTTTTAATATTTATATCCCACCCCTCTCCCACAATGTGGGGCTCTGGGTGGCATGACTGAAAATAGTACTAAAATATTGATATATCACTGGAGCACTGTAACAATAGGCTTAGGAAGGTGTCTAAATTCCTAGATTCCATTTTTTTTAAAAAAAAGTAAGTCTCTATGCGTTCCCATGGGGAGATATGCCTTATATCTGTGTAAGGGGAGAGCCTAGAGACTTACTTTTTTAAAAAATGAAAGCTGGGAATTCAGAGAACCTCCTAAGCCTATTGTTACAATGCTCCAGTGGTATATCAATATTTTAGTTCCTTTTTTTATAAAAGAAAAGGCAATTACTTGTTTTTAGGGTGGAGGAGGGGAGAGAGAGTGGGTTGACCATGACAGACCAGTCATCGAACAGTGGGGCTGGAGGTAGATGGGAGTGGGCGGGACAAAGAAAACCAACAGAAAT